GGGGTTCAGGGGTGGTTTGTGGTTCAAGGGGTAGAAGCATGGGTATGCCGTGAAAACAAACCTGGGTGACTGGGCCAACTTGCATCGACAACCTCAAAGAGGTCACATATAGGAGCCAACATGCTGTGCACACATGAGATTCGCAATATATCGTCGAGCCTCGTTTTCTTATGCAAATATGCAAAACAAATAGCATTGCCAGGCAGGGTCCAATGGATCCCTTTCGTGTGTATATTGTTGGAATTCGAAGCCGACACAGCCTGTAGAGGCTTTAAGAAGACAGCCTGTACAGGCTCGATGCAGCCGTTACAGGCTAGAACGTGAACATCCAACACAACATGCATGCAGGAGCAAGCTGCAGAAGCTGTGCACGGGACATAAAGCAGCCTATACAGGCTCAGTGCAATGGTCGTTTCTCAGTGGCCAAACATCCCTGCCCCATCTCGCAATATGCTTGTTAGCAAGCATACCAAACCCAGGGTTTCTTTGAAACCCGAGCCCCAAAACACATCGGGACGAGCCGTTGTAGAGGAGCCACCACCATTCAAGACAAGCAAGCTCCTCAGTGAACCTTCAGTCCATGCTTCTTTGCGTAGGAAAGCCATTCTTGGCGATTCAACCTCAACCCACGGAACGATGCATCCCGGCACTGACTGCAACCCTTGTGGCAGCCACGGCATCTCAAACACCCGAGCTTGAGCTTCTGCTTCGGTGCCTGCTTGTCGTGGTTCTGCTTGGTCTTCCCAGCCTTTGCAGGTTTCTTGCTCTGCGTTTTTTTCTCCAATCTCTCCATATGCTCCTTCTCGATATCCTCGAGGGTCTTCTGCTCATGGTTGCCATCTTGTGTGCCCGACAGGGCCTCGATGGATTGCAGCTGAGCATTCACCATGTTGCTGTTTGCATCGGAGTCAACAAGCTTCGCCTGGTTCGTCTGCTGCTGCTGCTGCTGCTGCTGCTCCTGCTGCTGCTGCTGAGCATTGACCGTGCTCGGCTCCACAGTGCTGCCTTGCCCTGCACTCGCCGTGCTTGCTTGGCCATTGGCAGCAATCGTGTTGGGAAGACCATTGCTGCCCGACGGCAGCTGCAGCTGCAGCTGTGCTGCAGAAGGATCGTTCGGCTGGCCTGCACCCTTGTTCTGAAAGTAGACAATGTTGGGCTGCCCCTGTGCTTGCTGCCCGAAAAGACCATTACAGCCTTGCACATAGCTTGCCCAAAGCTGCTGCTTCATTTCCGGGGTCAGCAGGTCTAGAATCTGTG